GAACAAAAGACAGAGATGAAAAGATTGGAGAGAGAGAATAAACCGAGATGAACAGACTGAGAGAATGATATGGAAGAAGGGAGGAGAAATAGAAGAGAGAGACGAATAAATGAGATAAAACAGACTGGGAGATTGATATGAAGAAAATGGAGGAATAGGAAGAGAGAGACGAAGAGATGAACAGACTGAAAATGAAATTGGGAGAAATAGAAGAGAGAGACGAATGAGATAAAACAGGAGATTGATAAAGAAGGGAGGACAAAGAGGAAGAGAGAGACGAATAAAATCGAGATAAACAGACTGGGAGATTGATATGAAGAAGGAGGACAAATGGAGGAGAAATAGGAAGAGAGAGAGACGAATAAAATTCTGAGATAAAACAGACCGAGGGGAGATTGATATGAAGAAGGGAGAGGATATGAAGAGGTTGAGGACAACAGGAAGAGAGAGACGAATAAAACTGGAGATAACAGGAGAGATTGAGAAGAGGAGGAGAATAGGAGAGAGAGACGAATAAAGATAAACGAGAGATAAAAGAAGCAGACAGGGAGATTGATATGAAGAAGGGAGGACAAATAGGAAGAGAGAGACGAATAAATCGAGATAAACAGACTGGGAGATTGATATGAAGAAGTTGGAGGATAAATAGGAAGAGAGAGATGAATAAAACCGGAGATGAACAGACTGAGAGAGAATGATAGAAGAAATGGAGGACAAATAGGAAGAGAGAGAATAAATTGAATAAAGACAGGGAGATTGATAAAGAGAGGAGAAATAGGAGGAGATTGATATGGAAGAATTTGGGAGGAGAAATAGGAGAGAGACGAATAAACCGAGATAACAGACAGACTGATAGAAGATTGATAAATGAGATAAACAGACAGGGAGAATGATATGAAGAAGCGGAGGAGAAATAGAGAGAGACGAATAAATCGAGATAAAATAGACTGGGAGATTGATATGAAGTGGGAAGAGGAGGAGAAAAACTGAGATAAACAGAAGAGAGAGAAGGAGGAGAAATAGGAAGAGAGAGACGAATAAACTGAGACAAACAGACAGAGAGATTGATATGAAGAAGAGGAGAAATAGGAAGAGAGACGAATAAATGAGATAAAAGAGAGGAGAACAGGGAGAGAGACGAATTCGAGATAAACAGACAGGAATTGAGGAGGACAAATAGGGAAGAGAGAGACGAATAAACCGAGATAAACAGACTGAGAGATTGATATGAAGAAGGTTGAGAAATAGGAAGAGAGAGACGAATAAAACGAGATAAACAGAGGAGAATGATATGAAGAAGGGAGGAGAGGGAAGAGAGAGACGAATAAATCGAACAATGAGGGAGATAAACAGACTGGGGAGATTGATATGAAGAAAGGAGGACAAATAGAAGAGAGACGAATAAAACGAGATAAACAGACTGAGAGATTGATATGAAGAAGGAGGAGAGGAAGAGAGACGAATAAAACCGAGATAAACAGAGAGAGATTGAAACGGAGAGAAAAGAGAGAGAGACGAATAAATGAGATAAACAGGACAGGAGATTGATATGAAGAAGGGAGGAGAAATAGGAAGAGAGAGACGAATAAATCGAGATAAACAGACAGGAGATTGAGGACAAATAGAAGAAGAGACGGAGATAAACAGACAACAGGGAAGAGAGAGAGACGAATAAATAAACAGAGAGATAAACAGGAGAAATAGGGAGAGATTGAATAAATCGGAGATAAACAATCGAGATTGAAGGACAAATAGGAAGAGAGAGACGAATAAACCTGAGATAAACAGAAGATTGAGAAGAAAAGGAGGAGAAATAGGGAAGAGACGAATAAATCGGAGATAAACAGACTGGGAGATTGATATGAAGAAGCGGAGGACAAATAGGAAGAGAGAGACGAATAAAATCGAGATAAACAGACTGAGAGATTGATAATGAAGAAAACGGAGGAGGAAATAGGAAGAGAGAGATGAATAAATGAGAGATAAACAGACTGGGGAGATTGATATGAAGAAGCGGAGGAGAAATAGGAAGAGAGAGACGAATAAATCGAGATAAACAGACAGAGAGAGATTGATATGGAAGAAGAAGGAGAAATAGGAGAGAAAATAAAATTGAAGAGAGGGGAGATTGATATGAAGAAGAGGACAAATAGGAAGAGAGACGAATAAACAGACAGGGAGATTGATAAGAAAGAAGGAGGACAAATAGGAAGAGAGAGACGAATAAAAGAGAGATAAACAGACTGGGGAGATTGATATGAAGAAGGGAGGAGAAATAGGAAGAGAGAGACGAATAAACCGAGATAAACAGACTGAGAGATTGATATGAAGAAGCGGGAGGACAAATAGAAGAGAGAGACGAATAAATCGAGATAAACAGACTGGGAGATTGAAGAAGAAGAAGGAGAGGACAAATAGGAAGAGAGAGACGAATAAAGAGAGATAAACCGAGATGAACAGGGAGATTGATATGAAGAAGCGGAGGAGAAATAGGAAGAGAGAGACGAATAAATCGAGAGACTAAAATAGACAGGGAGATTGAAGAGAGACGAAGAAGGAGGAGAAATAGGAAGAGAGAAATAGAAGAGAGACGAATAAATCGAGATAAACAGACAGGGAGATTGATATGAAGAAGGGAGGAGAAATAGGAAGAGAGAGAAATCGAATAAATCGAGATTGAAAAACAGACTGGGAGATTGAATAAACCGAGAGAAATAGACCGAGAGGGAAGAAGCAAAAATAGGAAGAGAGAGACGAATAAACGGAGATAAACAGACTGGGGAGATTGATATGAAGAGTTGAGGACAAAGAGAGAGACGAATAAACCGAGATGAACAGATGAAGGAAGGGGAGGAGAAATAGGAAGAGAGAGACGAATAAATCGAGATAAACAGACAGGGAGATTGATATGAAGAGAGGAGAAAATAGGGAAGAGAGAGACGAATAAATCGAGGAAAACAGACTGGGGAGATTGAATAAAAGGAGATAAAGAGAGACGAATAAACAGACAGGAGATTGATATGAAGAAAGGGAGGAGAAATAGGAAGAGAGAGACGAATAAACCGAGATAAACAGACTGGGAAAGAGATTGATAAGAAGAAGGGATGGAGAAATAGGAAGAGAGAGACGAATAAACGGAGATAAACAGACTGGGGAGATTGATAAGAAGAAGGGAGGAACAGGAAGAGAGAGACGAATAAAACTGAGATAAACAGACGGGGAGATTGATAGAAGAAGCGGGAGGAGAAAGTAGGAAGACAGAGAGAATAAATCGAATAAATAGATCAAGATAAAAGAGGCAGACCACAGAAGAGTGGAGAATAAATAGAGATAAATAGACCAGAAGCGGAGGAGACAAATAGGAAGAGAGATGAATAAAAGATAAACAGAGAGATTGATAAAAGAAATAGGAAGAGAGACGAATAAACCGAGATAAACAGACAGGGAGGACAAATAAAAGGAAAGGAAGAGAGAGACGAATAAAACGAGATAAACAGACAGGAGAGATTGATATGAAGAAGCGGAGGACAAATAGGAAGAGAGAGACGAATAACCGAGAGACAAACAGACTGAGAGATTGATAAGGAAGAAGAAGAGGACGAATAAACAAAACAGACAGAAGAGAGAAGGGAGGACAGACGAAATAAACCGAGATAAACAGACTGGAGAGATTGATAAGAAGAAGGGAGGGAGAAATAGGAAGAGAGAGATGAATAAATCGAGATAAATAGACTGAGAGATTGATATGAAATGGAGGAGAAATAGGAAAGAGAGAGACGAATAAACGGGAGAGAAACTGACAGGGGAGATTGATAAGAAGAAATGGAGGACAAATAGGGAAGAGAGAGACGAATAAAACCGAGAGATTGAAACAGGACATGGAAGACAGAGACGAATAAATGAAGAAATAGACTGGAGGATTGAAAGGAGGAAGAGAGAGAGATGAAAGAAAATTCAAACTGAGATAAACAGACAGGGAGATTGATAAAAGAAGGAGGACAAATAGGAAGAGAGAGAGATGAAATCGAGATAAACAGACTGGGAGATGATATGAAGAAGCGGGAGGAAAATAGGAAGAGAGAGACGAACAAACTGAGAGATGAACAGACAGGGAGAGAATGATAAGAAGAAGGGAGGAATAGGGAAGAGAGAGATGAATAAATGAGATAAACAGACTGAGAGATTGATAAAGAAGAAGGGAGGACAAATAGGGAAGAGAGAGACGAATAAACGAGATGAAACAGACTGAGAATGATATGAAGAAGGGGAGGAGAAATAGGAAGAGAGAGACGAATAAATCGAGATAAACAGACAGGGGAGATTGATGCGAAGAAGCGGAGGAGTAAATAGGGAAGAGAGATGAACTGGAGATAAACAGACTGGGAGATTGATAAGAAGAGGTTGAGGACAACAGGGAAGAGAGAGATGAATAAAACTGAGATGAACAGACTGGGGAGAATGAGGCGGAAGAAGGAGGAGAAGGAAGAGAGAGACGAATACTGAGATAAACAGACTGGGAGATTGATATGAAGAGTTGGAGGACAAATAGGAAGAGAGACGAATAAAACTGGAGAGAACAGACACAGGTTTGATACTGGTGAGAGAAGAAATGGATAGGATTCAAATAGGAAGAACAAATTTGGGAAATACAGGTAAGGCTTGATTCAAATAGGAAGAGGTTTGATTCTGGTAGGAAGAAAAGGATTGATTCAAATAGGAAGAGAGGTTTGATTCTGGTAAGAAGAAAATGGCTTGATTCAAATAGGAAGAGACACATTTGATACTGGTAAGAAGAAAAGGACTTGATCCAAATAAGAAGAAGAGAAATTTGATACTGGTAAGAAGAAAAGGGCTTCATTCAAATAGGAAGAGAGAGGTTTGATACTGGTGAGAAGAAAAGAACTTGATCCAAATAGGAAGAGACAGGTTTGATACTGGTGAGAAGAAAATGACTTGATTCAAATAGGAAGAGACAAATTTGATACTGGTAAGGGCTTGATTCAAATAGGAAGAGAGAGGTTTGATTCTGGTAGGAAGAAAAGAACTTGATTCAAATAGGAAGAGAGAGGTTTGATACTGGTAAGAAGAAAATGGCTTGATTCAAATAGGAAGAGACACATTTGATACTGGTAAGAAGAAAAGGACTTGATACAAATAGGAAGAGACAAATTTGATACTGGTAAGAAGAAAAGGGCTTCATTCAAATAGGAAGAGAGAGGTTTGATACTGGTGAGAAGAAAAGAACTTGATCAAATAGGAAGAGACAGGTTTTGATACTGGTGAGAAGAAAAGACTTGATTCAAATAGGAAGAGACAAATTTGATACTGGTAAGGGAAAGAAATTGATTCAAATAGGAAGAGAGAGGTTTGATTCTGGTAGGAAGAAAAGAACTTGATTCAAATAGGAAGAGACAGGTTTGATACTGGTAATAAGAAAATGGCTTGATTCAAATAGGAAGAGAGAGGTTTGATACTGGTAAGAAGAAAATGGCTTGATTCAAATAGGAAGAGACAGGTTTGATACTGGTAAGAAGAAAATGGCTTGATTCAAATAGGAAGAGAGAGGTTTGATACTGGTAAGAAGAAAATGGCTTGATTCAAATAGGAAGAGAGAGGTTTGATACTGGTAACAATAAAATAGACTTGATCAAATAGGAAGAGACAGGTTTAATACTGGTAAGAAGAAAATGGAGATTGATTCAAATAGGAAGAGAGGGTTTGATACTGGTAACAAGAAAAGGACTTGATCCAAATAGGAAGAGACAGGTTTGATACTGGTGAGAAGAAAAATGACTTGATTCAAATAGGAAGAGACAAATTTGATACTGGGTAAAGGCTTGATTCAAATAGGAAGAGAGAGGTTTGATTCTGGTAAAAAAAAAAAGGTTTGATATTGATCCAAATAGGAAGAGACAGGTTTGATACTGGTAAATGGCTTGAAGAAAAGGACTTGATCCAAATACGTAGAGACAGGTTTGATACTAGTAAGAAGAAAATGAAGCAGATTCAAATAGGAAGAGAGAGGTTTGATACTGGTAACAAAGAAAAGGACTTGATCCAAATAGGAAGAGACAGGTTTGATACTGGTAAGAAGAAAATGGCTTGATTCAAATAGGAAGAGAGAGGTTTGATACTGGTAACAAGAAAAGGAATTGATCCAAATAGGAAGAGACAGGTTTGATACTGGTAAGAAGAAAATGGCTTGATTCAAATAGGAAGAGACAAATTTGATACTGGTAAGAAGAAAAGGGCTTGATTCAAATAGGAAGAGACAAATTTGATACTGGTAAGAAGAAAATGGCTTGATTCAAATATGAAGAGACAAATTTGATACTGGTAAGAAGAAAAGGGCTTGATTCAAATAGGAAGAGACAAATTTGATACAGGTAAGAAGTAAAGGGCATGATTCAAATAGGAAGAGAGAGGTTTGATACTGGTAAGGGCTTGATTCAGATAGGAAGAAAGAGGTTTGATTCTGGTAAGAAGAAAAGGACTTGATACAAATAGGAAGAAACAGATTTGATACTGGTAAAAAGAAAAGGACTTGATCCAAATACGAAGAGACAGGCTTGATACTGGTAAGAAGAAAATGGCTTGATTCAAATAGGAAGAGAGAGGTTTGATACTGGTAACAATAAAAGGACTTGATCCAAAAAGGAAGAGACAGGTTTGATACTGGTAAGAAGAAAATGGCTTGATTCAAATAGGAAGAGACAAATTTGATACTAGTAAGAAGAAAAGGGCCTGATTCAAATAGGAAGAGACAAATTTGATACTAGTAACAAGAAAAGGACTTGATCCAAATAGGAAGAGACAGGTCTGATACTGGTAAGAAGAAAAGGGCTTGATCCAAATAGGAAGAGAGAGGTTTGATACTGGTAAGAAGAAAAGGACTTGATCTAAGTAGGAAGAGACAGGTTTGATACTGGTGAGAAGAAAATGGCTTGATTCAAATAGGAAGAGACAAATTTGATACTGGTAAGGGCTTGATTCAAATAGGAAGAGAGAGGTTTGATTCTGGTAAGAAGAAATGGACTTGATCCAAATAGGAAGAGACAGGTTTGATACTGGTAAGAAGAAAAGGACTTGATCCAAATACGAATAGACAAGTTTGATACTGGTAAGAAGAAAATGGCTTGATTCAAATAGGAAGAGAGAGGTTTGATACTGGTAACAAGAAAAGGACTTGATCCAAATAGGAAGAGACAGGTTTAATACTGGTAAGAAGAAAATGGCTTGATTCAAATAGGAAGAGACAAATTTGATACTAGTAACAAGAAAAGGACTTGATCCAAATAGGAAGAGACAGGTCTGATACTGGTAAGAAGAAAAGGGCTTGATCCAAATAGGAAGAGAGAGGTTTGATACTGGTAAGAAGAAAAGGACTTGATCCAAGTAGGAAGAGACAGGTTTGATACTGGTGAGAATAAAATGAAGCAAGGATTCAAATAGGAAGAAGAAAAATTTCAGAGACAAATTTGATACTGGTAAGAATGAAAAGGGCTTGATTCAAATAGGAAGAGACAAATTTGATACTGGTAAGAAGAAAAGGGCTTGATTCAAATAGGAAGAGACAAATTTGTTACTGGTAAGAAGAAAAGGGCTTGATTCAAATAGGAAGAGACAAATTTGATACTGGTAAGAAGAAAAGGGCTTGATTCAAATAGGAAGAGACAAATTTGATACTGGTAAGAAGAAAAAGGAAGGGCTTGATTCAAATAGGAAGAGGAGAAATTTGATACTGGTAAGAAGAAAAGGGCTTGATTCAAATAGGAAGAGACAAATTTGCTACTGGTAAGAAGAAAAGGACTTGATTCAAATAGGAAGAGACAAATTTGATACTGGAAGGAGTAAAGGGCTTGATTCAAATAGGAAGAGACAAATTTGATAGTGGTAAGAAGAAAAGGGCTTGATTCAAATAGGAAGAGAGAGTTTTGATACTGGGAAGAAGAAAAGGACTTGGTCCAAGTAGGAAGAGACAGGTTTGATAATGGTGGGAAGAAAATGGCTTTATTCAAATAGGAAGAGACAAATTTGATACTGGTGAGAAGAAAAGGGCTTGATTCAAATAGGAATATAGAGGTTTGATTCTGGTAAGAAGAAAAGGATTTGATCCAAATAGGAAGAGACAGGTTTAATACTGGTAAGAAGAAAATGGCTTGATTCAAATAGGAAGAGAGAGGTTTGATACTGGTAACAAGAAAAGGACTTGATCCAAATAGGAAGAGACAGGTTTGATACTGGTAAGAAGAAAATGGCTTGATTCAAATAGGAAGAGAGAGGTTTGATACTGGTAACAAGAAAAGGAATTGATCCAAATAGGAAGAGACAAATTTGATACTGGTAAGAAGAAAATGGCTTGATTCAAATAGGAAGAGACAAATTTGATACTGGTAAGAAGAAAATGGCTTGATTCAAATAGGAAGAGACACATTTGATACTGGTAAGGGCTTGATTCAAATAGGAAGAGAGAGGTTTGATACTGGTAACAAGAAAAGGACTTGATCCAAATAGGAAGAGACAGGTTTGATACTGGTAAGAAGAAAATGGCTTGATTCAAATAGGAAGAGAGAGGTTTGATACTGGTAACAAGAAAAGGAATTGATCCAAATAGGAAGAGACAAATTTGATACTGGTAAGAAGAAAATGGCTTGATTCAAATAGGAAGAGACAAATTTGATACTGGTAAGAAGAAAATGGCTTGATTCAAATAGGAAGAGACAAATTTGATACTAGTAACAAGAAAAGGACTTGATCCAAATAGGAAGAGAGAGGTTTGATACTGGTAAGAAGAAAAGGACTTGATCCAAATAGGAAGAGAGAGGTTTGATACTGGTAAGAAGAAAAGGACTTGATCCAAATAGGAAGAGAGAGGTTTGATACTGGTAAGAAGAAAAGGACTTGATCCAAGTAGGAAGAGACAGGTTTGATACTGGTGAGAAGAAAAGGGCTTGATTCAAATAGGAAGAGACAAATTTGATACTGGTAAGAAGAAAAGGGCTTGATTCAAATAGGAAGAGACAAATTTGATACTGGTAAGAAGAAAAGGGTTTTTATTCAAATAGGAAGAAAAATTTGATACTGGAAGAAGAAAAGGGCTTGATTCAAATAGGAAGAGACAAATTTGATACTGGTAAGAAGAAAAGGACTTGATTCAAATAGGAAGAGACAAATTTGATACTGGGAAATAATAAAGTGTCAGGTTTGAACTGGTAAGAATAAAAGGACTTGATTCAAATAGGAAGAGACAAATTTGATACTGGTAAGAAGAAAAGGGCTTGATTCAAATAGGAAGTGAGAGGTTTGGTACTGGGAAGAAGAAAAGGACTTGATCCGAGTAGGAAGAGACAGGTTTGATAATGGTGGGGAAGAAAATCATGGGAAAAAATGGCTTTATTCAAATAGGAAGAGACAAATTTGATACTGGTGAGAAGAAAAGGGCTTGATTCAAATAGGAATAGACGTGTTTGATAATGGTAAGAAGAAAAGTATTTGATTCAAATAGGAAGAGACAGGTTTGATATTGGTTAGAAAAAATAGGACTTGATCCAAATAGAAGAGTGACAGGTTTGTTACTGGTAAGAAAAAAAGGCTTCATCCAAATAGGAAGAGACAGTTTGATACTGGTAAAAGAAAAGGAGCTTGATTCAAATAGGAAGAGACAGGTTTGATACTGGCAATAAGAAAATAAGAAATAGGAAGAGACAGGTTTGATACTGGGAAGAAGAAAAGGACTTGATCCAAATAGGTAAGAGACAGGTTTGATAATGGTGGGAAGAAAATGGCTTGATTCAAATAGGAAGAGAAATTTGATACTGGTGAGAAAGAAGGGCTTGATTCAAATAGGAATGAGAGGTTTGATTCTGGTAAGAAGAAAAGGATTTGATCCAAATAGGAAGAGACAGGTTTGATACTGGCAAGAAAACAGAAGGCTTGATCCAAATAGGAAGAGACAAATTTGATACTGGTAAGAAAATTTCAAGTTTGATTCAAATAGGAAGAGAGAGGTTTGATTCTGGTAAGAAGAAAAGGACTTGATCCAAATAGGAAGAGACAGGTTTGATTCTGGTAAGAAGAAAAGGACTTGATCCAAATACGAAGAGACATGTTTGATACTGGTAAGAAGAAAATGGCTTGATTCAAATAGGAAGAGAGAGGTTTGATACTGGTAACAAGAAAAGGACTTGATCCAAATAGGAAGAGACAGGTTTAATACTGGTAAGAAGAAAATGGCTTGATTCAAATAGGAAGAGAGAGGTTTGATACTGGTAACAAGAAAAGGAACTGATCCAAATAGGAAGAGACAGGTTTGATACTGGTAAGAAGAAAAAGGACTTGATTCAAATAGGAAGAGAGAGGTTTGATACTGAATGCCCCAAATAGAGAAAGGGCTTGATTCAAATAGGAAGAGAGAGGTTTGATACTGGTAAGAAGAAAAGGGCTTGATTCAAATAGGAAGAGACAAATTTGATACTGGTAAGAAGAAAAGGGCTTGATTCAAATAGGAAGAGACAAATTTGATACTGGTAAGAAGAAAATGGCTTGATTCAAATAGGAAGAGACAAATTTGATAGTGGTAAGAAGAAAAGGGCTTGATTCAAATAGGAAGAGTCAAATTTGTTACTGCTAAGAAGAAAAGGGCTTGATTCAAATAGGAAGAGACAAATTTGATACTGGTAAGAAGAAAAGGACTTGATTCAAATAGGAAGAGACAAATTTGATACTGGTAAGAAGTAAAGGGCTTGATTCAAATAGGAAGAGACAAATTTGATAGTGGTAAGAAGAAAAAAAGCTTGATTCAAATAGGAAGAGACAGGTTTGATACTGGCAAGAAAACAGGAGCTTGATCCAAATAGGAAGAGACGTGTTTGATAAATGGTAACAAGAAAAAATTGATTCAAATATGAAGAGACAGGTTTGATATTGGTAAGAAGAAAAATTGAGATGCAAATAGGAAGAGTCAGGTTTGTTACTGGTAAGAATAAAAAGGAAGAGACTTCATCAAATAGGAAGAGACGTGTTTGATACTGGTAAAAAGAAAAGAGCTTGATTCAAATAGGAAGAGACAGGTTGATACTGGTAATAAGAAAATGATTGATCAAATAGGAAGAGACAGGTTTGATACTGGTAATACTGAAAAGAAGAAAAGGGCTTGATTCAAATAGGAAGAGACAAATTTGATACTGGTAAGAAGAAAAGGGCTTGATTCAAATAGGAAGAGACAAATTTGATACTGGTAAGAAGAAAAGGGCTTGATTCAAATAGGAAGAGACAAATTTGATACTGGAAGAAGAAAAGGACTTGATTCAAATAGGAAGAGAGACAAATTTGATAGTGAGAGAAGAAAAGAAAAGGAGATTGATTCAAATAGGAAGAGAGAGGTTTGATACTGGGAAGAAGAAAAGGACTTGATCCAAGTAGGAAGAGACAGGTTTGATAATGGTGGGAAGAAAATGGCTTTATTCAAATAGGAAGAGACAAATTTGATACTGGTGAGAAGAAAAGGGCTTGATTCAAATAGGATAGAGAGTTTTGATTCTGGTAAGAAGAAAGGATTTGATCCAAATAGGAAGAGACAGGTTTAATATTCAAATGGTAAGAAAAAATGGTCATTCAAATAGGAAGAGAGAGGTTTGATACTGGTAACAAGAAAAGGACTTGATCCAAATAGGAAGAGACAGGTTTGATACTGGTAAGAAGAAAATGGCTTGATTCAAATAGGAAGAGAGAGGTTTGATACTGGTAACAAGAAAAGGAATTGATCCAAATAGGAAGAGACAAATTTGATACTGGTAAGAAGAAAATGGCAGATTCAAATAGGAAGAGACAAATTTGATACTGGTAAGAAGAAAATGGCTTGATTCAAATAGGAAGAGACACATTTGATACTGGTGAAGAAAAAGGCTTGATTCAAATAGGAAGAGAGAGGATTTGATACTGGTAACAAGAAAAGGACTTGATCCAAATAGGAAGAGACAGGTTTGATACTGGTAAGAAGAAAATGGATTGAAATTCAAATAGGAAGAGAGAGGTTTGATACTGGTAACAAGAAAATGGAATTGATCCAAATAGGAAGAGACAAATTTGATACTGGTAAGAAGAAAATAAGCTTTGATTCAAATAGGAAGAGACAAATTTGATACTGGTAAGAAGAAAATGGAACGATTCAAATAGGAAGAGACAAATTTGATACTAGTAACAAGAAAAGGACTTGATCCAAATAGGAAGAGAGAGGTTTGATACTGGTAAGAAGAAAAGGACTTGATCCAAATAGGAAGAGAGAGGTTTAATACTGGTAAGAAGAAAAGGACTTGATCCAAATAGGAAGAGAGAGGTTTGATACTGGTAAGAAGAAAAGGGCTTGATTCAAATAGGAAGAGACAGTTTGATACTGGTAAAGAAAAAAGGACTTGATCCAAGTAGGAAGAGACAAATTTGATACTGGTGAGAAGAAAAGGGCTTGATTCAAATAGGAAGAGACAAATTTGATACTGGAAGGAGTAAAGGGCTTGATTCAAATAGGAAGAGACAAATTTGATAGTGGTAAGAAGAAAAGGGCTTGATTCAAATAGGAAGAGACAGTTTGATACTGGTAAGAAGAAAAGGACTTGGTCAAGTAGGAAGAGACAGGTTTGATAATGGTGGGAAGAAAATGAAGAAGAAAAGGACTTTCAAATAGGAAGAGACAAATTTGATACTGGTGAGAAGAAAGGGCTTGATTCAAATAGGAATAGAGGTTTGATTCTGGTAAGAAGAAAAGGGGCTTGATCAAATAGGAAGAGACAGGTTTAATACTGGTAAGAAGAAAATGGCTTGATTCAAATAGGAAGAGAGAGGTTTGATACTGGTAACAAGAAAAATAGACTTGATCAAATAGGAAGAGACAGGTTTGATACTGGTAAAAAGAAAATGGCTTGATTCAAATAGGAAGAGAGAGGGTTTGATACTGGTAACAAGAAAATGAATTGATCCAAATAGGAAGAGACAAATTTGATACTGGGAAGAAGAAAATGAGCTTGATTCAAATAGGAAGAGACAAATTTGATACTGGTAAGAAAAGAAAAATGGAAGAGATTCAAATAGGAAGAACACATTTGATTTGATAAACAGGTAAGAAGAAAAGGATTCAAATAGGAAGAGAGAGGTTTGATACTGGTAACAAGAAAAGGACTTGATCCAAATAGGAAGAGACAGGTTTGATACTGGTAAGAAAAATGGCTTGATTCAAATAGGAAGAGAGAGGTTTGATACTGGTAACAAGAAAAGGATTGATCCAAATAGGAAGAGACAAATTTGATACTGGTAAGAAGAAAATGACTTGATTCAAATAGGAAGAGACAAATTTGATACTGGTAAGAAGAAAAATGGAGATTCAAATAGGAAGAGACAAATTTGATACTAGTAACAAGAAAAAGGACTTGATCCAAATAGGAAGAGAGGGTTTGATACTGGTAAGAAGAAAAGGACTTGATCAAATAGGAAGAGAGAGGTTTAATACTGGTAAGAAGAAAAGGACTTGATCCAAATAGGAAGAGAGAGGTTTGATACTGGTAAATCGAGAAGAAAAGGACTTGATCCAAATAGGAAGAGAGGTTTGATACTGGTAAGAAGAAAGGACTTGATCCAAGTAGGAAGAGACAGGTTTGATACTGGTGAGAAGAAAAGGGCTTGATTCAAATAGGAAGAGACAAATTTGATACTGGTAAGAAGAAAAGGGCTTGATTCAAATAGGAAGAGACAAATTTGATACTGGTAAGAAGAAAAGGGTTTTATTCAAATAGGAAGAGACAAATTTGATACTGGTAAGAAGAAAAGGGCTTGATTCAAATAGGAAGAGACAAATTTGATACTGGTAAGAAGAAAAGGCTTGATTCAAATAGGAAGAGACAAATTTGATACTGGTAAAAGTAAAGGGAAGACGGATTCAAATAGGAAGAGACAAATTTGATACTGGTAAGAAGAAAAGGGCTTGATTCAAATAGGAAGAGATATGAAGTTTGAGTACTGGGAAGAAGAAAAGGACTTGATCCAAATAGGAAGAGACAGGTTTGATAATGGTGGGAAGAAAAAAAAGCTTTATTCAAATAGGAAGAGACAAATTTGATACTGGTGAGAAGAAAAGGGCTTGATTCAAATAGGAATAGAGGACAAATTTGATAATGGTAAGAAGAAAAAAAAGCTTGATTCAAATAGGAAGAGACAGGTTTGATATTGGTAAGAAAATAAGAAAAGTTTGATGCAAATAGAAAAGAGTCAGGTTTGTTACTGGTAAGAAGAAAAAGAAGGGAGGACGGAAGATCCAAATAGGAAGAGACGTGTTTGATACTGGTAAAAAGAAAAGGGTTGATTCAAATAGGAAGAGACAGGTTGATACTGGCAATAAGAAAATGCTTGATCCAAATAGGAAGAGACAGGTTTGATACTGGGAAGAAGAAAAGGACTTGATCCAAGTAGCAAGAGACAGGTTTGATAATGGTGGGAAGAAAATGGCTTTATTCAAATAGGAAGAGACAAATTTGATACTGGTGAGAAGAAAAGGGCTTGATTCAAATAGGAATAGAGAGGTTTGATTCTGGTAAGAAGAAAAGGATTTGATCCAAATAGGAAGAGACAGGTTTGATACTGGCAAGAAAACAGGAGCTTGATCCAAATAGGAAGAGACAAATTTGATACTGGTAAGGGCTTGATTCAAATAGGAAGAGACAGGTTTGATTCTGGTAAGAAGAAAACTTGATCCAAATAGGAAGAGACAGGTTTGATTCTGGTAAGAAGAAAAGAGACGAATAAACCGACTTGATCCAAATACGAAGAGACATGTTTGATACTGGTAAGAAGAAAAAATGGTTTGATTCAAATAGGAAGAGACAGGTTTGATACTGGTAACAAGAAAAAGGACTTGATCCAAATAGGAAGAGACAGGTTTAATACTGGTAAGAAGAAAATGGCTTGATTCAAATAGGAAGAGAGAGGTTTGATACTGGTAAGAAGAAAAGGAACTGATCCAAATAGGAAGAGACAGGTTTGATACTGGTGAGAAGAAAATGGCTTGATTCAAATAGGAAGAGAGAGGTTTGATACTGGTAAGAAGAAAAGGGCTTGATTCAAATAGGAAGAGACAAATTTGATACTGGTAAGAAGAAAAGGGCTTGATTCAAATAGGAAGAGACAAATTTGATACTGGTAAGAAGAAAATGGCTTGATTCAAATAGGAAGAGACAAATTTGATACTGGTAAGAAGAAAATGAATTGATTCAAATAGGAAGAGACAAATTTGATAGTGGTAAGAAGAAAAGGGCTTGATTCAAATAGGAAGAGTCAAATTTGAGATACTGCTAAGAAAAAGGGCTTGATTCAAATAGGAAGAGACAAATTTGATACTGGTAAAGAAAAAAGGACTTGATTCAAATAGGAAGAGACAAATTTGATACTGGTAAGAAGTAAAGGGACTTGATTCAAATAGGAAGGAGACAAATTTGATAGTGAAGTAAGAAGAAAAGGGCTTGATTCAAATAGGAAGAGACAGGTTTGATACTGGCAAGAAAACAGGAGCTTGATCCAAATAGGAAGAGACGTGTTTGATAATGGTAACAAGAAAAAAAGAAGCTTGATTCAAATATGAAGAGACAGGTTTGATATTGGTAAGAAGAAAAGTTCTTGATGCAAATAGAAAGAGAGTCAGGTTTGTTACTGGTAAGAATAAAAGAAGCTTCATCCAAATAGGAAGAGACGTGTTTGATACTGGTAAAAAGAAAAAAGAAGCTTGATTCAAATAGGAAGAGACAAATCGGTTGATACTGGTAATAAGAAAATGCGGATCCAAATAGGAAGAGACAGGTTTGATACTGGTAGAAGAAAAGGACTTGATTCAAATAGGAAGAATAGGTTTGATACTGGGAAGAAGAAAAATAAATCGAGATCAAACAGGAAGAAACAGGTGTGATACTGGTAAGAAAAAATGACTTGATCAAATAGGAATAGACAGGTTTGATACTGATAAAAAAGACTTGATGCAAATAGGAAGAGACAGGTTTGATACTGGGAAGAAAACAAGAACTTGATCCAAATAGGAAGAGACAGTCTTGATACTGGTAAGAAAAGAAAAGGTTTGATTCATATAAAAGTGCCAGGTTTGATACTGGTAAGAAGAAAAATGAGATGCAAATAGGAAGAGACAGATTTGTTACTGCTAAGAATAAAAGAAGCTTGATCCAAACAGGAAGAAGAGACAGGTTTGATACTGATAAGAAGAAAATTGGTTGATTCAAACAGGAAGAGACAGGTTTGATACTGGTAAGAAGAAAATTGGTTGATCCAAATAGGAAGAAGACAGGTTTGATACTGGTAAGAATAAAATGGTTTGATCCAAACAGGAAAAGAGACATATTTGATAATGGTAAACAGAAAAGGATTGATGATCCAAATAGGAAGAGACAGGTTTGATATTGATAAAAATAAAAAGAGATCCAACAGGAAGAGACAGGTTTGATACTGGTAGAAGAAAACTGCTTGATTTAAATAGGAAGAGACAGGTTTGATACTGGTAATAAAACAAGAGCTTGATTCAAACAGGAAGAGATAGGTTTGATACTGGTAAGAAAAAAGGGAGGAATCTAAATAGGAAGAGACAACTGGAGAGAGATATGAAGAGACTGAGGACAAATAGGAAATAGAGAGAGACGAATAAATCGAGATAAACAGACAGGGAGATTGATATGAAGAAGCGGAGGAGAAATAGGAAGAGAGAGACGAATAAATCGAGATAAACAGACTGGGAGATTGATATGAAGAAGCGGAGGAGAAATAGGAAGAGAGAGACGAATAAACCGAGATAAACAGACTGAGAGATTGATATGAAGAAGCGGGAGGACAAATAGGGAAGAGAGAGACGAATAAATCGAGATAAACAGACTGGGGGATTGATATGAAGAGCGGGAGGAGAAAAATAGGAAGAGAGACGAATAAATCGAGATAAAACAGACTGAGAGATTGATATGAAGCGGAGGACAAATAGGAAGAGAGAGACGAATAAACCGAGATAAACAGACTGGGAGATTGATTGGAAGAGGCGGTGGAAGAGGACGGGGGATAAATGACTGAGGAAAGAAGGAAGGACAAATGAAGAGAGAGACGAATAAATCGAGATAAACAGACTGAGAGATTGATATGAAGAGGCGGAGGACCAATAGGAAGAGAGAGACGAATAACCAAGATAAACAGACTGGGGAGATTGATAAGAAAGAAGCAGGAGGACAAATAGGAAGAGAGAGACGAATAAATCGGAGATAAAACAGAGACAGGGAGATTGATATGAAGAAGCGGGAGGACAAATGGGAAGAGAGACGAATAAATGGGATAAAACAGACTGGGAGATTGATAAGAAGAAGCGGAGGGACAAAATAGGAAGAGAGAGACGAATAAATCGAGAGAAACAGACTGAGATTGATATGAAGAAGTGGAGGAGAAATAGGGAAGAGAGAGACGACAACAAACGGGAGATAAACAGACTGGGAGAGATATGAAGAAGCGGAGGAGAAAGAGGAAGAGAGAGAAATAAAACCGAGATAAACAGACAGGGAGATTGATAGAAGAAGGAGGAGAAATAGGAAGAGAGAGACGAATAAACAGAATGGGAGATTGATACAAGAAGGAGGGATAGGGAGAGACGAATAAACCGAGATAAACAGAATGGGAGATTGATAGAGGCGGAGGACAAATAGGAAGAGAGAGACGAATAAACCAAGATAAACAGACAGGGATTGATATGAAGAAGCGGAGGACAAATAGGAAGAGAGAGAGAGACGAATAAATCGAGATAAACAGACTGAGAGATATGAAGAAGAAAATAGGAAGAGAGAGACGAATAAACAAATAGGGAGAGAAGAGGCGGAGGACAAAAGAGAGAGAGATAAACCGAGATAAACAGACAGGGAGATTGATAAGAAGAAGCGGAGGACAAATAGGAAGAGAGAGACGAATAAATTGAGATAAACAGACAAATAGGGAGATTGGATATGAAGAAGAAGAGGAGGAGAAATAGGAAGAGAGAGACGAATAAAACTGAGATAAACAGACTGAGATTGATATGAAGAAACGGGAGGACAAATAGAAGAGAGAGACGAATAAACTGAGATAAAACAGACTGAGAGATTGATGAAGAGGCGGTGGACAAAGAGGACAAAGAGAGAGGAATAAATCGAGATAAACAGACTGGGAGATTGATAGAGGCGGGGGGACAAAGAGGAAGAGAGAGACGAATAAATCAAAAATGACTGAGAGAATATGAAGAGGCGGGAGGACCAATAAAGAGAGAGATAAACAAGAAACAGAGGGAGATTGATATGAAGAAGCGGAGGACAATTAGGAAGAGAGAGACGAATAAATCGAGATAAACAGACAGGGAGATTGATATGAAGAAGCGGAGGGCAAATAGGGAAGAGAGAGAATAAAATCGATATAAACAGACTGGGAGAGATTGATATGAAGAAGCGGAGGGAAATAGGAAGAGAGAGACGAATAAATCGAGATAAACAGACTGGGAGATTGATATGAAGAGCGGAGGAGAAATGAAGAGAGACGAATAAATCCGAGATAAACAGACTGGGGAGATTGATATGAAGAAGCGGAGGACAAATAGGAAGAGAGAGACGAATAAATCGAGATAAACAGACTGGAGATTGATATGAAGAAGCGGAGGAGAAATAGGAATAGAGACGAATAAACCGAGATAAACAGACTGGGGATTGATATGAAGAAGCGGAGGGCAAAATAAATAGAGAGACGAATAAAACAAGATAAACACACTGGGAGATTGATATGAAGAAGGAGGACAAATAGGAAGAGAGAGACGAATAAAATCGAGATAAACAGACTGAGAGATTGATATGAAGAAGCGGAGGACAAATAGACAAATAAACGGGAGATTGAGGAAGAAGCAGGAAATAAAGAGAGAGACGATAAACAGACTGGGAGATTGATAAAGAAGGGAGGACAACAGGGAGAAAGACGAAGGAGAGGGGAGATATGAAGACAAATAGGAAGAGAGACGAATAAACAGACTGAGAGATTGATATGAAGAGGGTGGGGACAAAAAGGAAGAGAGAGACGAATAAATCGAGAAATAAACGGGGAGATTGATATGAAGAAGCGGAGGAGAAATAGGAAGAGAGAGACGAATAAATCGAGATAAACAGACTGAGGAGATTGATATGAAGAGGCGGAGGAGAAATGGGAAGAGAGAGACGAATAAACCGAGATAAACAGACAGGGAGATTGATATGAAGAAGCGGAGGACAAATAGGAAGAGAGAGACGAATAAACGATATAAACAGAATGAGAGATTTATATGAAGAAGCGGAGGAGAAATAGGAAGAGAGAGACGAATAAAATCGAGATAAACAGACTGGGAGATTGATATGAAGAAGCGGAGGACAAATAGGAAGAGAGAGACGAATAAATCGAGATAAAACAGAATGGAGATTGATATGAAGAAGCGGAGGACAAATAGGAAGAGAGAGACGAATAAACTGAGATAAACAGACTGGGAGATTGATATGAAGAAGCGGAGGACAAATAGGGAAGAGAGAGACGAATAAACCGAGATAAAACAGACTGGGAGATTGATATGAAGAGGCGGAGGACCAATAGGAAGAGAGAGACGAATAAATCGAGATAAAACAGACTGGGAGATTGATATGAAGAAGCGGAGGACAAATAGGAAGAGAGAGACGAATAAATCGGGAGATAAACAGACTGGGAGATTGATAGAAGAAGCGGAGGACAATAGGAAGAGAGAGACGAATAAACCGAGAGATAAAACAGACTGGGAGATTGATATGAAGAAGCGGAGGACAAATAGAAGAGAGAGACGAATAAATCGAGATAAACAGACTGGAGATTGATATGAAGCGGAGGACAAATAGGAAGAGAGAGACGAATAAATCGAGATAAACAGACTGAGAGATTGATATGAAGAAGGAGGACAAAGAGGAAGAGAGACAGAAAACAGAATGGGAGATTGATAAGAAAAGGGAGGATAAATAAGAAAAGAGACGAATAAATCGAATAAACAGACTGGGAGATTGATATGAAGAGGCGGAGGACAAAGGAAGAGAGAGGGTCGAATAAATCGAGATAAACAGACTGGGAGATTGATATGAAGAAGCGGAGGACAAAATAGGAAGAGAGAGACGAAAATCGAGATAAACAGACTGGGAGATTGATATGAAGAAGCGGAGGACAAATAGGAAGAGAGAGACGAATAAATCGAGATAAACAGACTGGAGATTGATATGAAGAAGGAGGAAAATAGGAAGAGAGAGACGAATAAACTGAGATAAACAGACTGGGAGATTGATATGAAGAAGCGGAGGAAAAATAGGGAAGAGAGAGACGAATAAATCGAGATAAACAGACTGGGGAGATTGATATGAAGAAGGGAGGAGAAATAGGGAAGAGAGAGACGAATAAATCGAGATAAACAGACTGGGAGATTGATATGAAGAGGGGAGGACAAATAGGGAAGAGAGAGACGAATAAATCGAGATAAACAGACTGGGAGATTGATATGAAGAAGCGGAGGACAAATAGGAAGAGAGAGACGAATAAATCGAGATAAACAGACTGGGAGATTGATATGAAGAAGCGGAGGAGAAATAGGAAGAGAGAGACGAATAAATCGAGATAAACAGACTGGGAGATTGATATGAAGAAGCGGAGGAGAAATAGGAAGAGAGAGACGAATAAACCGAGATAAACAGACTGAGAGATTGATATGAAGAAGCGGAGGACAAATAGGAAGAGAGAGACGAATAAATCGAGATAAACAGACTGAGAGATTGATATGAAGAGGCGGAGGACCAATAGGAAGAGAGACGAATAAATCGAGATAAACAGACTGGGAGATTGATATGAAGAAGCGGAGGACAAATAGGAAGAGAGAGACGAATAAATCGAGATAAACAGACTGGGAGATTGATATGAAGAAGGGAGGACAAATAGGAGGGACGAATAAAACAAAGAAAAACAGACTGAGAGTTTGATATGAGAGAGGCGGAATAAGAGACGAATAAACCGATAAAACAGACAGGGAGATTGATATGAAGAAGCGGAGGACAAATAGGAAGAGAGAGACGAATAAATCGAGATAAACAGACTGGGAGATTGGATATGAAGAATCGGAGGACAAATAGGAAGAGAGAGAATGAATAAACGAGATAAACAGACTGGGAGATTGATATGAAGAAGCGGGAGGAGAAATAGGAAGAGAGAGACGATAAATCGAGATAAACAGACTGGGAGAGATTGATATATGAAGAAACGGAGGACAAATAGGAAGAGACGAATAAACCGAGATAAACAGACAGGGAGATTGATATGAAGAAGCGGAGGACAAATAGGAAGAGAGAGACGAATAAATCGAGATAAACAGACTGGGAGATTGATATGAAGAAGCGGAGGACAAATAGGAAGAGAGAGACGAATAAACCGAGATAAACAGACTGAGAGATTGATATGAAGAAACGGAGGACAAATAGGAAGAGAGAGACGAATAAACCGAGATAAACAGACAGGGGAGATTGATATGAAGAAAGGAGGACAAAGAGGAAGAGATAGACGAATAAATCGAGATAAACAGACTGAGAGATTGATATGAAGAAACGGAGGACAAATAGGAAGAGAGAGACGAATAAACCGAGATAAACAGACTGAGAGATTGATATGAAGAGGCGGGGGACAAAGAGGAAGAGAGAGACGAATAAATCGAGATAAACAGACTGAGAGATTGATGGAAGAAGCGGAGGACCAAGAAGAGAGACGAATAAATCGAGATAAACAGACTGGGGAGATTGAAGAAGGTAGAATAGAGACGAATAAATCGGAGGAGAAATAGGAAAATAGCAAGAGAGAGACGAATAAACCGAGATAAACAGACTGGGAGATTGATATGAAGAAGCGGAGGACAAATAGGAAGAGAGAGACGAATAAATCGAGATAAACAGACTGGGAGATTGATATGAAGAAGCGGAGGAGAAATAGGAAGAGAGAGACGAATAAATCGAGATAAACAGACTGAGAGATTGATATGAAGAAGCGGAGGACAAATAGGAAGAGAGAGACGAATAAATCGAGATAAACAGACTGGGAGATTGATATGAAGAAGCGGAGGACAATAGGAAGAGAGAGACGAATAAATCGAGATAAACAGACTGGGAGATTGATATGAAGAAGCGGAGGACATATAGGAAGAGAGAGACGAATAAATAGAGATAAACAGACTGGAGATTGATATGAAGAAGAGGACAAATAGGAAGAGAGAGACGAATAAATCGAGATAAACAGACTGGGAGATTGATATGAAGAAGCGGGGACAATATGAAGAGAGAGACGAATAAATCGAGATAAACAGACTGGGAGATTGATATGAAGAGGGAGGACAAATAGGAAGAGAGAGACGAATAAATCGAGATAAAAAGACTGAGATTGATATGAAGAAGGGAGGGCAAATAGGAAGAGAGAGACGAATAAATCCGAGATAAACAGACTGGGAGATTGATATGAAGAAGCGGAGGAGAAATAGGAAGACAGAGACGAATAAACCGAGATAAACAGACTGAGAGATTGATATGAAGAGGCGGAGGACCAATAGGAAGAGAGAGACGAATAAATAGAGATAAACAGACTGGGAGATTGATATGAAGAAGCGGAGGACAAATAGGAAGAGAGAGACGAATAAATCGAGATAAACAGACTGGGAGATTGATATGAAGAAGCGGAGGGAAATAGGAAGGACAAATAAAACCGGAAAACAGAGAGAGACGGAACAAATAAATCGAGAATAAACAGACAGACAGGAGATTGATATGAAGAAGCGGAGGACAAATAGGAAGAGAGAGACGAATAAATCGAGATAAACAGACTGGGAGATTGATATGAAGAAGCGGAGGACAAATAGGAAGAGAGAGACGAATAAATCGAGATAAACAGACTGGGAGATTGATATGAAGAAGCGGAGGACAAATAGGAAGAGAGAGACGAATAAATCGAGATAAACAGACTGGGAGATTGATATGAAGAAGCGGAGGAGAAATAGGAAGAGAGACGAATAAATCGAGATAAACAGACTGGGAGATTGATATGAAGAGAAGCGGAGGACAAATGGGAAGAGAGAGACGAATAAATCGAAGATAAACAGACTGGGAGATTGATATGAAGAAAAGGAGGACAAATAGGAAGAGAGAGAATAAACCGAGATAAAACAGACTGGGAGATTGATATGAAGAAGGGAGGACAAATAGGAAGAGAGAGAGACGAATAAATCGAGATAAACGAGATAAACAGACTGGGAGATTGAGGGATTGATATGAAGAAGCGGAGGACAAATAGGAAGAGAGAGACGAATAAATCCGAGATAAAAGACTGGGAGATTGATATGAAGAAGGGAGGCAAATAGGAAGAGAGAGAGACGAATAAATTTAGATAAACAGACTGGGAGATTGATATGAAGAAGCGGAGGACAAATAGGAAGAGAGACGAATAAAAACAATAAACAGACGGGAGATAAACAGACAAATGGGAGATTGAATAAATGAAGAAGACTGGGAGAGATATGAAGGAATAGGAAGAGAGACGAATAAATCGAGATAAACAGACTGGGAGATTGATATGAAGAAGCGGAGGACAAATAGGAAGAGAGAGACGAATAAATCGAGATAAACAGACTGGGAGATTGATATGAAGAAGCGGAGGAGAAATAGGAAGAGAGAGACGAATAAACCGAGATAAACAGACTGGGAGATTGATATGAAGAAGCGGAGGACAAATAGGAAGAGAGAGACGAATAAATCGAGATAAACAGACTGAGAGATTGATATGAAGAAGGGAGGAAAATAGGAAGAGAGAGACGAATAAATCAAAGATAAACAGACTGGGAGATTGATATGAAGAAGCGGAGGACAAATAGGAAGGGCAGAGACGAATAAAATCGATAAAAACAGAGAGGAGAGATTGAATAAGGCGGAGGAAAATAGGAAGAGAGAGACGAATAAATCGAGATAAACAGACTGAGAGATTGAGAAGAAAGGGAGGACAAATAGGAAGAGAGAGACGAATAAATCGAGATAAAAAGACTGAGGAGATTGATATGAAGAAGCGGAGGACAAATAGGAAGAGAGAGACGAATAAATCGAGATAAACAGACTGGGAGATTGATATGAAGAAGTTGAGGACAAATAGGAAGAGAGAGACGAATAAACCGAGATAAACAGATCTGAGAGATTGATATGAAGAAGCGGGAGGACAAATAGGGAAGAGAGAGACGAATAAACCGAGATAAAACAGACTGGGAGATTGATATGAAGAGTCGGAGGACAAATGGGAAGAGACGAATAAATCGGAGGATAAACAGACAGGGAGATTGATATGAAGAAGAGGACAAATAGGAAGACGAATAAATCGAGATAAACAGACTGGGAGATTGATATGAAGAAGCGGAGGAGAAATAGGAAGAGAGAGACGAATAAAAATGAGATAAAACAGACTGAGAGATTGATATGAAGAAACGGAGGACAAATAAATCGAGAGAGACGAAGAGAGAGACAGATAAACCGAAAAACAGACTGGGAGATTGATGAAGAAGAAGGAGGACAAATAGGAAGAGAGACGAATAAACCGAGATAAACAGACTGAGAGATTGATATGAAGAAGCGGAGGACAAATAGGAAGAGAGAGACGAATAAATCGATAAACAGACTGGGAGATTGATATGAAGAAGCGGAGGACAAATAGGAAGAGAGAGACGAATAAAATCGAGATAAACAGACTGGGAGATTGATATGAAGAAGGAGGGGAAGAGGAAGAGGAGAAATAAATCGAGGACTGAGAGAGAGACAATAGAATAAATAAATCGAGATAAACAGACTGGGAGATTGATATGAAGAAGCGGAGGACAAATAGGAAGAGAGAGACGAATAAATCGAGATAAACAGACAGGGAGATTGATATGAAGAAGCGGAGGACAAATAGGAAGAGAGAGACGAATAAATCGAGATAAACAGACTGAGAGATTGATATGAAGAAACGGAGGACAAATAGGAAGAGAGAGACGAATAAACCGAGATAAACAGACTGGGAGATTGATATGAAGAAGCGGAGGACAAATAGGAAGAGAGACGAATAAATCGAGATAAACAGACTGGGAGATTGATATGAAGAAGCGGAGGGCAAATAGGAAGAGAGAGACGAATAAATCGAGATAAACAGACTGGGAGATTGATATGAAGAAGCGGAGGACAAATAGGAAGAGAGAGACGAATAAACCGAGATAAACAGACTGAGAGATTGATATGAAGAGGCGGAGGACAAATAGGGAGAGAGAGACAAATAAATCGAGATAAACAGTCTGGGAGATTGATATGAAGAAGCGGAGGACAAATAGGAAGAGAGAGACGAATAAATCGAGATAAACAGACTGGGAGATTGATATGAAGAAGCGGAGGGCAAATAGGAAGAGAGAGACGAATAAATCGAGATAAAAAGACTGAGAGATTGATATGAAGAAGCGGAGGGCAAATAGGAAGAGAGAGACGAATAAATCGAGATAAACAGACTGGGAGATTGATATGAAGACTGAAGGGAAGAAGCGGAGGACAAATAGGAAGAGAGAGACGAATAAATCGAGATAAACAGACTGGGAGATTGATATGAAGAAGCGGAGGAGAAATAGGAAGAGAGAGACGAATAAATCGAGATAAACAGACTGGGAGATTGATATGAAGAGGCGGAGGACAAATAGGAAGAGAGAGACGAATAAATCGAGATAAACAGACTGGGAGATTGATATGAAGAAGCGGAGGAGAAATAGGAAGAGAGAGACGAATAAATCGAGATAAACAGACTGGAGATTGATAAAACCGAAGAAGTGGAGGACAAATAGGAAGAGAGAGACGAATAAATCGAGATAAACAGACTGGGAGATTGATATGAAGAAGGGAGGACAAATAGGAAGAGAGAGACGAATAAATCGAGATAAACAGACTGGGAGATTGATATGAAAGAGGAGAAATAGGAAGAGGAGAAATAAACCGAAGAAAGAGACTGAAGATAAATATGAAGAAGAGATAAAGAGAGGACAGAAATCGAGATAAAACAGATTGATATTGAAGAAGGGAGGACAAATAAAGGAGAGAGACGAATAAATCGAGATAAACAGACTGGGAGATTGATATGAAGAAGAAGGGAGAGGACAAATAAATCGAGGAAGAGAGAGAGATTGAATAAACGGAGGACAAGATAAACAGACTGAGAGAAACAGACTATTGAAGAGGCGGAGGACAAATAGGAAGAGAGAGACGAATAAACCGAGATAAACAGACAGGGAGATTGATATGAAGAAGCGGAGGACATATAGGAAGACAGAGACGAATAAATCGAGATAAACAGACTGGGAGATTGATATGAAGAAGCGGAGGAGAAATAGGAAGAGAGACGAATAAACCGAGATAAACAGACTGAGAGATTGATATGAAGAGGGAGGAGGACAAATAGGAAGAGAGAGACGAATAAACCGGAGATAAACAGACAGGGAGATTGACGAATAAATCGAGAAAACGACAGGAGGACAAATGGAGGAAGAAGAGAGACGAATAAACCGAGATAAACAGACTGGGAGATTGATATGAAGAAGCGGAGGAGAAATAGGAAGAGAGAGACGAATAAATCGAGATAAACAGACTGGGAGATTGATATGAAGAAGCGGAGGACAAATAGGAAGAGAGAGACGAATAAACCGAGAGAAACAGACAGGGAGATTGATATGAAGAAGCGGAGGACAAATAGGAAGAGAGAGACGAATAAACCGAGATAAACAGACAGGGAGATTGATATGAAGAAGCGGAGGACAAATAGGAAGAGAGAGACGAATAAATCGAGATAAACAGAATGGGAGATTGATATGAAGAAGCGGAGGAGAAATAGGAAGAGAGAGACGAATAAACCGAGATAAACAGACTGAGAGATTGATATGAAGAGGCGGAGGACAAATAGGAAGAGAGAGACGAATAAACCGAGATAAACAGACAGGGAGATTGATATGAAGAAGCGGAGGACAAATAGGAAGAGAGAGACGAATAAATCGAGATAAACAGAATGGGAGATTGATATGAAGAAGCGGAGGAGAAATAGGAAGAGAGAGACGAATAAACCGAGATAAAAACGACTGAGATAAACAGACTGGAAGAGAGAGACGATGAGAGAAACAGACAGGGAGATTGATATGACAAATAGGAAGAGAGAGACGAATAAACCGGGAGATAAACAGACTGGGAGATTGATATGAAGAAGCGGAGGGACAAATAGGAAGAGAGAGACGAATAAATCCGAGAAAACAGACTGAGAGATTGATATGAAGAAGCGGAGGACAAATAGGAAGAGAGAGACGAATAAACCGAGATAAACAGACTGAGAGATTGATATGAAGAAACGGAGGACAAATAGGAAGAGAGAGACGAATAAACCGAGATAAACAGACTGAGAGATTGATATGAAGAAGCGGAGGACAAATAGGAAGAGAGAGACGAATAAATCGAGATAAACAGACTGGGAGATTGATATGAAGAGGTTGAGGACAAATAGGAAGAGAGAGACGAATAAACCGAGATGAACAGACTGAGAGAATGATATGAAGAAGCGGAGGAGAAATAGGAAGAGAGAGACGAATAAATCGAGATAAACAGACTGGGAGATTGATATGAAGAAGCGGAGGACAAATAGGAAGAGAGAGACGAATAAATCGAGATAAACAGACTGGGAGATTGATATGAAGAAGACTGAGGCAAATAGGAAGAGAGAGACGAATAAATCGAGATAAACCGTCTGGGAGATTGATATGAAGAAGCGGAGGGCAAATAGGAAGTGAGAGACGAATAAATCGAGATAAACAGACTGAGAGATTGATATGAAGAGACACAGACAGATAAATGGAGCTGAACAGATCGAGAAAGTTTCGAAAGAACATGGCATTCCTGAAAGAGTAAAAGAAAAAGAAAAAGAAAAAAAAACAAAAAAACAAAGGACAGTTGAAGTGCTGATGAAGAAATGACTAAGAAAATTGTTATATCTATCTATCTATCTATCTATCTATCTATCTATCTATCTATATATATATATATATATATATATATATATATATATGTGATTTTAAAATATTACAAAAATATTATAAAAATATTAAAATTTTAAAAGTATATATATATATATATATATATATATATATATATAAAAAAATCTTAGATCAATTCTGTGACAAGACAGATTGGTATAAAATGACAATTGGAAAAAAAATCTTACATTTTGCCGACGCGTTTCGTCGTCCGACTTTTCAAGGCAAAAATGAAATGAAATATTTTTGTTGTTATAGTTACATTAAAAATCCAAATTTAAAAAGGCTTACACAGAAGTTGCGTCTATCATTTTAGATTTGGATTTTTATGTAACTATAACAAAAAAAACATTTCGATTTCATTTTTGCCTTGAAAAGTCGGACGTCGAAACGCGTCGGCAAATGTAAGATTTTTTAAATTGTCATATATATATATATATATATATATATATATATATATATACACATATATATATATATATATAGTTTTAAAACTTTTATTATTGTTTATAAAAATCAACTAGTAAAGACTCTTGCCATCTTAATTTCTCTCGTGAATGCCCTCTTAGATATAAAATAGGTGTTATTAAAAATTTCCTCAAGAGAGTCTACAAGAATTTATCCTCTTGCACGCTTTTCTTTAAAGAATTAATCAACGTAAAACAAACGCTTATTAATAATGGATTTTCTAATCATTTGTTGGACTGTTGGCGTTTTAGAAACATAAACAATAATATTAATATTTTTTATAAGAATCAAATGAACGAAAATTATAAACAAGACGAAGTAGAATTAAGAACATTATAAAAAGAAATGCACAACACCAGTTGACAATAGCAAAAAAAAAAAAAAAAAATAGGTTAATTATTTATTACAAAAAATTAAGACCTCAAACCTTATAGTTAAAAATAATAATTCACCTCTTAGAACAAAATTAAATAGGACAAATATTATTTACGAATTTAAATGCCCATTAAGTGATTGTATTCCTGATCAATCAAAATTCGTAAATAATTATATAGGCCATACTACAATATGTTTGACAAGAATATTCACTCTACACCTTTCTGACCATAGCTCAATTAGATCTCATTTAAATATTAATGGAGATCAGGTAGTATTTGTAATATACTTATTGACAACACAAATATAATAGCATCATCTACATGCAAAAAAACAAGGCTAAAAAAATGGAAGCCTTATTAATAAAAACGAAAGACCAACACTTAATAATACCATTATGAACATGGACACAATATCTTGACCGTGTTTTTGAAAATGAAAACATATAAATACATACATGCAACAAACTATTTCTTATATAACAGTTAAAATATTTCAACCTTGAAAATGGATAAATGTATAGCCAATAGCACTCGAAAAAAATAACATTCGGACAGTTTTTTTATAATTTATCATCTGAAAAGAAAAAAAATATTAGATCCCATGAGAAATTGTATAAAAAACTAAATCAAAGCACCTAGTATGTCCTATTCAATGAAATATGCATGAAAGAAGGATTGCTGCCTAAATACACAAATTATATATATATATATATATATATATATATATATATATATATATATATAGTACATACGTAATTACACAGGTATATACAAAAGTACTTTCATGTATGCATACTGTATATGCAGTGTATGTATGAATTCGCACACACTCATACGGACACCGACTCACTAGAAAAAAAAAATCACTGTTAATAACTCATTCTCAAATTGACCCCTTAAAAATCAAATTAAAAAATGTCCCACATTGGGAACAACGGTTCTAAAAAGTGATAGATAGATAGATAGATAGATAGATAGATAGATAGATAGATCACTGTAGTGATGTCGATATGAACGGGGATACCTAGATAGAATGAGAGGCAGACAGACTAATATATATATATATATATATATATATATATATATATATATATATATATTGATCAGTATGAACAGAATAAGATAGAGAGAAAAGAAGAAAACACAATAGATACGTAGATATATAATGAGAATGTGAAAGAAAGAAAGAAGGAAAGATAGCGAGATAGATAACGAGACTGATAGATAGATAGATATAACGAAATTGTGAAAAGAAAGCAAGATGAAAGAAAGAAAGATTTCCATAAAATAGATAGATAGATAGATGAACGGACCACTTTAGTGATATAGATATATGTTATGATATAGATATGAACAGGGTAAGCTAGATAGACTGAGAAGCAGACAGACTGATATGAAGAAATAAATGCATTGATATATATGAACAAAATGAAATGGAGAGAAATGATCCGACTGATACATATATATATATATATATATATATATATATTGTTATTCAGATTAGAACTTCATTTGAATAAAATGCATGAACACATTTTTGTTTTCATTTTTGCTTCAGGCAAATGGCAACTTGTTTTGAAAATATTGCTACTTGATGAACGAAATCTTGAAAACATTCAATGTTTTTTTTTTTTAAACGAAATCTTTGTCAGATTTGCGCGATATTTGCCATCAAACAACCTGGAAAAATTATCTTCTTGTTGGCAGTCAGCATTTGATGCAGAAACAAGACGCTCAGCTGATTTCGATTAGGATTTAATAATTATTCGTATTCTTGCCAGAGCAATTAGGACATTTCGTTATGTTTAGTTTATATTTCAATTTTATTCCATTGAAACCATATTATTAAAACGTTAACAAAATCCACTGGCATCATTGTTAGTGAATCATAATCTGCAAGCATGTTTTTCGGGGTTACTTTGTCATACAGATGTATTTAGTCCAAGTTAAAACCTTTCTAAATCTAATACACACACTTTAACTTCATTATCTTTTTACATTTCTGCTGACAAATGTGTAGTTTTTATTGGGTTATTCGGCTTAAGTTTTTAAATCTAAGTTATAATTCGCCTTAAGAAGGCTTACTTTTTAGTTGGCGATTCGCATTAAGGGTTTGCTGTTTAGTTGGCTATTCACCTTAACAGGTTACTATTTAATTGGACATAAGATAGCAAAAACTACAAAGAAAAGGAAATTGTAGAGAGCCATGATCGTTCACTCCCTGAAGGTACACGGCAAACAGAAAAAAAAATCATCTTCATTTCCTAATATGTAATTGGCTAATCCCTTTAGGTGCATTTTTGCTGTATATTCGCCTTAAGTGTTTACTACTTATTTGCCTATTCGCCTTAAGTGTTAACAGTTTAGATAGATATTCACCTTAAGTGCTAATAGTTTAGATAGATATTTGTCTTAAGTACTAACAGTTTAGATAGATATTCGCCTTAAGCGCTTACGTTGTAGCTATTTGCCTTAAATGCGTACTGTTTAGTTAACTGTTCGCCTTGTGCTTACAGGGCTTACTTTTTTACTTAGCTATTCGCCTTCAGCGCTTACATTCTATCCATATATTCACGTATTTATTATTTAATTGGCTTTTCGACTAAAGTACTTACTATTTGAAATAGTTATTAAGTGCTTAGTGTTTAATTAGCTATTCGCCTTAAGTATTTGTTGGCGTTTCCTCTTACCTTGTAGAAACATGTTTACTGTCTAAGTGTAGCTTAGATGTGGCACAAGGCCGAAGATATGGGGGCACCCAGTGAGGATCGAACTCACTATTCAGTCGTAAGCGACCTAGCAAAACAATCTTGCTAAACATTACACCACATGGAAGTGCCCAATCATTTTCTAATGGTAACTTATATATGGCACAAGGCCGAAAGTATGGAGGCACCCAGTGAGGATCTAACTCTTAAAAGTACAGAAAACGGAATAAATGATGAAATGTGCTCAGTTCATACTAATGTCCCTGCCGCATGAAACCATCGCTTCTTACGACCTTCAGCTATTAGTGAAGTAGTAGAGATGACCACACTCTCTAGCCTTGATTGGCAACCGGTGTAGAAGGCGTTATAAAATATTTCCTCTTGTCATTTGATTTATTAATAATCTATTTGCAGATATATTCATTTGTTTCTCATTTTATCACATACATACATACATACATACATACATACATACATACATACATATGTAGCTGGCCACTCGTATTCGTACACGTCTACTATGGCGGCTAACCAATCCCTATTGCAGACGCTTGCTCAGGTGCATTGTGATTATTCAACACCCACAGAGCCCACCTGTGTTTTATACTGCAATTATACTGAGCAGATCTTAGTTAAAGTTTCTGGGAAAGAATGTGTTATCTAGCGCGATTAACAATTTGAACAAGGCCAGCACGCTCAAGCCTCGGCCACGATGACTTGTGACTTCGTGCGAGCACAGCTATCGACGGGCGCCAAGGGTTCCGTCTGTCCAGTTTCCCTCACAAGGCTCGGTATGTTTTTCAGGCCGCACGCTGGGATTGACCCCCATTTCCCTAGTCTGATAACACCAGAAAGTCTTCTTCCTTACAAATGGACGATAGTGAGATTCGAACGCGGGTCGCAAGGCAAGAATGCGAACGTTCTAACCATCCGGTCACGTGCCCATCTACATACATGCACACATTCATACATATATCAACGACAAATTTTATTAAAGACAACAGATATTTTGTGTCGATCAATTTTGTTGATTTACTTTTTCAGATTACGAATAATCCTCCTCAGATGAGAAGGATATTCCGTCAGAAATTGTCCAAAAGTTTATTTCGGAAGAAATATTGTCCAAGCCCGCCTCCTCAAATGTAAATACATACGCACAAACACGCACAGACATACACACGCGTGCGCACGCGCGTCAGACTTTGCCAACGTCGCAATGCTTCATTGCTTCCTTCACGATTTTCATTAGCTTTAAGAAATTCACCATTTGCCTCTACCAATAAAATTAATCGAAACTAAATATCCGTTATCTTTAATAACATTTGCCTTAAAGAACATTTGCTGCTTAAAAACACACACACACACACACACACACATATATATATATATATATGATTTTGGGATCGAATATAAAATGTGGATCATGATATATAAAGAACAAATAGGAAACGTTTATTAATTTAGCATGTTTCCGTTTTATTAACCCTTTGAGGCCTGACCACTGCTTTACCGGTGGTAGAGAAAAATGACGTAATACCCAGCCATTGGTTGGACGGTGGGTAAGCACTTGTAACTATTTTTATTTCTACCGTGAAACATCACATGTGAATTTTGACTCAGGCAAAAGCATTAAAATTGTTCAGGAACGCAGGGCTGAAAGTGTTAAAGCTTCGTCAGAGAATGAGATGTGGAGAAAAAAAAAGAAAGAAAGTCTGGTATTTTTTTTACTTTTGTGTTATTTGATTTTCTTGGTCAATCATGTATCACGTGCACACACATATATATATATATATATATATATATATATATATATATATTGCACATTGAGTGCTGGTATTATTGAGTGCTATAAATTATATATTAATATACATTATGTTCCTCACCAGTAGCACAACCTGAAGTTTCCTGCACAATGCAATGTTATGTGCTGAATTTCATTGTGCATGAAACTCCTGAGTCGTGCTGTTATGTGAGAATATATATATATATATATATATATATATATATATATATATAGTAAAAAAAATTGTTAGAAAGATTCTGTACCAAATCTTATTGTAATAGACGAAAATGAGGATTGGAAAAAAAAAGGCACCTTTATATATATATATATATATATATATAATTATTTTTATAAAAATTATAACATAAGTATGTTATAGATCACTAAAAAATAGCCATTTTGTTTCAACACGTTCTGTGTCTTCTCAAGTGATTTCACTTGAGAAGACACAGAATGTGCTGAAACAAATGGCTATTTTTGTAATCTTATAACATACTTATGTTATAATTTTTTATAAAAAAATTATATCTGCTCTACTTTGTATTGAGCACTCTTTTAAGAATAGTAATTGTTGGTTATTGGAATTCATTCCGTATATACCAATTATATACTTTGATATATATATATATATATATATATATATATATATATATATATATATATAAGTAATGAAAATCTTGATAATTCGTATGGATAATCCCAAGGAGGATTAAATCCGGATATGGATAATCACAAGTGAAGTCTAAAGATCTCGAGAAAAATAAAATCTCTGGTGAAATAAATTATAACAATGGATCCTTAAAGTGGTCTGTTTTTCCTTTAATTTTATATATATATATATATATATATATATATATGCATGTATATTTAGGCAGCATATTTCCATTCAAGCATGTTTGGTTAAATAATTTAGAAGTATTATGTCTATTTATTTTAGTTTTAATCCTTTCAAGTCCACGAAACGAATTAATTTCTTGGTAGCTGCAGAAAATTGATTAAAAAATCCTAAAATTTTCTTTGAAATAAATTTATTTTCCCAAGTACTTTCAATTTCATCTAAAATGTGTCATGCGTTAAGACCGTAAATTCAATATATTTTTTTTTTACCTCTATGCAAAAGAGATTTTTTTTAAATGATTTTTAATTGTAGTATTTTAATTTAGATGAGAGAAGGACGCCTGGATCAGGGGATTCCAACACAACGGCGAATTCTTTTTCTATGTTTTTTTTCAAGAAAACTGACTGTTTTATAGATATTAAAATAAAAAAGGATAACGTGGAAAGTCATGATCGTTATATAACGTTACGAAGAGAGTAGGAAAGTCAGTAGCTAATCTCATATCTTAAAAGATAACTCTATTGATATTTAGCTCAATATATATTCGTTGCTTTAAAAATGAAGTGAAAATAGTCGGAGTAGGTTTCTCTTCGGATAAAAACAGCGTATGAGGCATAGACATGATTTATAGGCTTTTTATAGGACATTATGAAACTGATAAAATATTAACGACTCTTATCACCTATTTTAGATCCGTTCAGGACGTTAATAAAAAAGCAGATATTAGACTGCATAAATACTTTAGCTTTAAAAATAAAGTGGAAAAACAAAAAGAGCCACTGATTTAATTGCTGTAGAAGGAAACCGTGGTGATTTAATTACCAGATAAACGAATGATACTATTCCGAACAAAAGATGGCGGAAGAATGCAAAAAAACAAAAAAATCTCTAAAATTAGGAAATGAAATCCCCGAAGAAAAGAACAAAATGAAATAAATACAAAGATAAGAGGAATTTGATAATTCATTGAAAGGAAATACTTAATTGACACGTAAATTATTCACAAAAATGTATATTAACCAAGTGTTTTAGGGTTTGGAATTCATAAAATTTCTCTTGTGCATTTTTTGACTTTTGGAATAATTATAAAATATAACTATTTTCTTCTTTCCTCTCTAGGTTTCAAAAATAAAAAATATATATATATATGTATATATATAATTGATGATTTAGGTTTGTCTGATATATATATATATATAAATATATATATGTTTGCATTTTGTGTGACTTCTCTGGATTCGGCTTTCCAAAAAGTGTTATTGGCTCTGCAAATATATAGTCTGGCTGTTGGTTCAAAGAACTGAGCTCTTTATATATATATATATATATATATATATATATATATATATATATATATATATATATATATATATATATATATATATATATATATATATATATATTTCAATAAAAAGGTGCAATCAATTTACAAATTCATGAATTATTCATACAAAAAAAACTCAAAGTTTAATGATTTGATTATATATCGTCGCAAACAATTCAAATAATATACAAAAAACCCCGAACCTGTTATTAATGAAATGATCCTTGTTTTTATAAATTTCTGTTGCATTAGTTCTTATTTTTACAAGCTTTCGTCTGTTCCTACAGACATCTTCAGGAAAAAACAAGAACAACGTCTATTCCATACCTGGTGGCAACCGGTCTAGGAGAAGGAAAAACTCCGGATTCAAAACTGGAGGGGTTTGGACTCCGTCAAGCTATATTGCTCAAGAAACACCACTTCTACTGCGGCTGCAGTACATATGCTGCCCCTACGACAATACGGGTCACGGGATAAAAAATAATAAATCAAAATAACAATTTGTCAAATGATAGTCAAACAGCAACAGAAGATATTGCACACGCTGGAGCTTTGATTCAAGATGATAGAACGCACACAGTTTGAGATATGATTGCCAAACTTGATCAATCCAGGTCGGTAGTCCATGAAATTGTCCACGAGATGTTGGGATACTGCTGCCATATTGGGTCTGGTTCTCCTGCTATATATCTTGAGATTCTTAACAAAATTCAAAGGAGGGTCTGTAATGTAATCGATCATGACCTGGCATCTCGATTTCAGTCACTTCCCCACAGGCGTAAAGTGGTTTCCTTCTGTCTTTTCTACAAATATATTTATGGCAATTGTTCTGATGCTCTCTTCTCTTTGGCGCCTCGATGGCAAGAATTTAAGCGTTCTACTAGATTGGCAATTAGGTCTCACCGTTTTACTGTTGAACTAGTAAGATGCAACCGTATGTTTTATTCTTATAGTTTCTTTTCTCACACTTCTCGCCTAAGGAATTGCTTTTCGATTTCTTCCTTCCACGCCACTTAAAATCTTCAAAAATTTAAATGCAATGTTAATCGTCATCTTCTGTTTTTCTGAATCCACAACATAGTCTTCTCGTTCTCTTTCACCTCCTGTAACACACTGCGTCCTAGTGACATTGATGCCTTACTTGAGGTGAAACGATTTTAAAAAAATATATAGGAAAATGTTAATTCGTTGGGTCCCAAAACAACTAACTGAATGACAGAAGGTCAAGTGCATGGGCATTCTTATCAGCTTTTGGAACGGTCTTAGTGAAGCCGATGGGGACTTTCTGCGGCTACATGCTACTCCAGTTTATTCTGAGACCCGCAGGCATGCGGAAATGGTGCCTGGGATTAAAGTGTAGCAGACGATAGCCGGCGGCCTATGGCTCCAATCATCATCATCATCAGCAGCTGCATCAGTTCCAGCCAGACAGCTATCATCATCAGCCGCAGCTCCAGCCAGCCAGCCAGCCAGCCAGCCAGCCAGCCAGCCATCTTCTGCAGGTCTCCAGCCCCAGCTCTAGCGAGTTATTCTCACCAGCAGCAACGATATGCGATACACTGTCCTTTTCAGGACAACAATTCTCAATGGCTACAAAATCTTCCTTTTTCAAGATTTTTTTCTCTCACCCTCTACACTAACACGCAGAGATATCTTTTTGCCTTGTTTTGTTTCTTTAAAGAAAATAAATTTGGCAATATATTTTATTTGTACAACTCTTCATTTTGTTTGCTGTTGCCTTCCGTCATTCAATATCTGTTTGCGGGCCAATATACCACCCGCAACAGTGTAATGGATCCCAGCCCGGAATTGTAGATTGAAGAGCCGAGTTCCAATTCCATTCGGATTCATTATATTGACTTACGCTCGTGATGAAGGTATAAATTCATCTCTTCCCCCTAGCTAAAGTCGAACAGGAGGGACCAGACTGAAAGCGACCAACTCCCGAAGACGCAAACGGTGGAATAGGCAAAGATCTGCACGATCTCAACGACCAAACTGGCGGAAGAGGGCAACATCAGTCGGGCTGATATATATATATATATATATATATATATATATATATATATATAACCATGAAAGTATTTATGGAAAAGTCATAGGAAAGAAACATTACGGCGGTGGGAAAGTGACTGGAGCCAAGATGCCAGGTAAGGACCAGTTGTAACATTACAAATACTTCTTTGGAGTTCCCCAGGAATTCCTTAATATATAAACATAGATCGCAATTTGAAACTGTGGATGCTCTTCTTGCTGCAGTTTATGCATCCTGGGCGAGCATCCTAAGCACCCTCATGTAGAACGAGTATGCCAAAGCGAATTTTCGAAGTAATTCGCAAAAATGGAGGAGATACTGAATATTAAATTATCGTTGTGACTTATTTGTTCTGTATTTTCTATTTTTATTTACATGGTCTTGTCTTTATGATCAACCAAAAAATACTTTTTCAATGTTAGTTTCAATTAAATTAATCAATTAAAAGCTTAAAATTTCACTTGATTGTTGATAAACTACATTTTCTAATTAGATGTAAATGTTTTGTAAATATATTTCGATTAAAAGTTAACAGTATTTTATAATTTTTTAACCCCCTTTTTTATCTGGTCTTAAGTTTTTCACCAAGAGTGTAGTGTAGCATTAGACCAGATGTGGCAGATTCAAAGCAAGGACGAATGGTAGACTTATAAATATGTATGAGAAAAAACAGTATAATAAATAAATAAAATAATTACTTTCATGTTTGTGTCCTGCGGTTTTCTTTTTATGTTTTCTTGATGCAGCATACAACAGGGTGATAAAAATGTCATAAGAGCTTAATAATGGACATGCGCATTTGAAACCTTTCGTACTTTTTCATTTTAAATAAATAATCATTCTTTTCACCTCGCGGTATCATAAAAAAAATAGATATTTCTTTAGGTGTTTTTTGTTTTATTTATTATTTTTAGGTCGAATTTCTGATGCAGAGTCATTTCATTTTACCAGCCTTAGACATTTAATATATTGACTGAGATTGAACATAGAAACAGCTAATTCATTATTTTTGGGTGACGGCCGCGAGCCTTGTTCGCGTGAACGGGGCTAGCCTTGATTTTCTTTTTTTAGGTCCACCTAAGTCACATCGGGGTGGTTTCCTGTGGAGCCCTCCCCTGGTTATGATAACCCCCTTTTTTTTTGTCGTTCCCGGCTTTTACTATGGTTATGATCCAAATCGAGATTTCCAACCTTCCCAGTTTGTTTTTGGACCCTTTTTTCATCTCCACTGGGTTAGCTTGCTTTTCTCATGGTCGTATTTATTTTATCTTTTCGCTCTCCCTTAGTGAGAGATGCCCTTGATTTTGTCTAAAGGCAGAATACAATGACCCCTCTGAATACAATGACCCCTCTGAATACAATGACCCCTCCGAATACAATGACCCCTCTGAATTCTTTAGAGGATTTGACGGGTCCAACTGACATCAGTTATCCTTTTATTTACTGTATTTGTTTTGATATTTTAGTTTGTTTTGGGGTTTATCCCCACCATTACGTACCACCCACAAATTTTTGTATGTAAAATTTTATAATCGTTAATGTTTATGACAGGGGGTGTTTTTGTAAGGTATTGTAGTATATCGAAGATTAAATGATAATGGATGCATTCTTTTGGGGGATGTGCAAATTGTAATGAGTGAATGGGTCGTGAATCTGATTAGCTAGGTATAAGATAGTAAGTGATGACCAGCCTGAGACCACCCACCTCCATTTTCGGCCTTGTGCCACAATTGTGTTTTATATACAATAAATCTAGACAGCGACTTTGGAAGGTGGTGTGGAGAGAAAAAGAAAAAAAAATATTGTTGACTTACGATTTTACGTGTGTAATGCCGAGTAGTAGCGGGAGACAGGTTCAAACTTTTGTCGATCCGAATTCTCTGAATATAAAGCTGAAGTCTCTTAAATATCCAAGAACAATGGGGGAAATATTACGATTTCTTTCTAAGATTTCAAAGACTTTTTTTTATAACGACTTTTGTAAAAGAATTCTACGGCGTTTTATGAAAGTGAAAGAATGCAATTTTCAAATGTCAACTTTAAAAATATTTTTGTCATTTGCGCTGGCATCATTTTGTTCGATGTATACGT